TTATAATTTTAATTTTTATAATTTTATTTTACTTTTTATTTTATAAGTATAATTTAGATAATTTATTTTATAATTAAATTAATTTTTTTAAAATTTTTATAAATTTATATAAAAAAATATATTAAAACCCCTCGATCTTTGAGGATAGCTTAGCAACTCTCATGATTTAATATATGAGACAGTCTAAAAAAATAAAAAATAAAAATAAAAATTCCATTCAAATGCTCCCAATAATTAATTAATTAATTTATTTGGTGTTTTGGCCTCAACAACTCTTGACGCTCCATTCTCCTTGTCTTGTTTGTTGTTGATGAGCGTTGCGCATGTCTTCCATTTTTGCCCCCGGTTACTCTTTTAACATTCCCGACTTTGAGGTCAACGAGGCCGTCGGCGGGTGTATGCCTGAGACTCCGGAAGATAGTGGAGCATATGGGAGAATCCATGAAGTGTTCTTGAGCTTCAGAGGTGAAGACACACGTGCTTCTTTCGTTTCGCATCTCTCTGCCTCTCTTCAGAATGCTGGAATCGATGTTTTCAAGGATGATGAGTCGCTCCGTAGGGGAGATCACATTTCAGACTCACTGCTGCGAGCAATTGAAGAGTCTGAAATTAGTGTTGTTGTGTTCTCAACAAATTATGCAGGGTCTCCGTGGTGCTTGAATGAGTTAGGGAAAATAATGGAGTGCCACAGAACCATAGGGCACAAAGTTCTCCCGGTGTTCTATGATGTTTATCCCTCCGAAGTGCGCCATCAAAAAGGCGAGTTTGGAAAAGCACTCGAAAAACTTCAGGAGAGGATTTTAAGCTACGTGAATGAGGAGTTTCCGCAATTGGTGCGTGGGATTGGTGACAAATCGGAAGTGATGGATTCCCGATTGAAGGTCATGTTCCCGAATTGTAGGAAGGCACTTCGTGAGGCCGCTGGCATGTCAGGTGTTGTAGTACTCAACTCCAGGTAACTCGATTCACACTTCTTTCTTTCTCACAATTTTTTCTTCATCATTATTATCTCCATTTTAAAAAAAAATCTATTTTTGATAAATGTAGTTTCTGAATATTATTTTAAATAATACTATCTATTTTGGTTTTTAAAATAAATAAACAGAATATATGTATGTTATTTTGATTTTTCACCTTCAGCTTTTATTACTCATAAGAATCTTTGTGTTACTCCATCCTCTTCTCTTCTCTTCTCTTACTTTCACCCGCCACTTCTAAAAATTAGTAATTGAGACGTGTTCTACAAAATTTAATAAAGAAAAAAATTAAAAAACTCAATCAAACAAACTCTAAAAATTATAATATATGTATCCTTTCTATCATATAATTACTTTTTAAGAAATTAATGAAATGGCAATAAGTAACCTAATGGAGTAACGTGTTTCTATCCGACTATAATTTTTTTACTCAAATTTCTTACAGAATTTGATGCATGTATTTGTTCACCTTCTCTTTGTTTTTTGTTATAGAAATGAAAGGGAGACTATAAAAAATATTGTTGAAAATGTTGCACATTTGTTAGACAAGACAGAGTTATTTGTTGCCAATAATCCAGTGGGAGTAGAACCTCGAGTACAAGCAATGAGTCAATTGCTACTCCAAAAATCATCAAATGATGTCCTACTATTAGGGATGTGGGGGATGGGAGGCATTGGTAAAACAACCATTGCTAAAGCCATTTACAATAAGATTGGCCGCAATTTTGAGGGAAGGAGCTTCCTTGCAAATATCAGGGAAGTTTGGAGGCAAGACGTTGGCCAAGTCAATTTACAAGAACAACTTCTGTCTGATATCAACAAAGAAACAAAAATAACGATACATAATGCTGAATCAGGAAAAAATATATTAAAAAAAATACTTTGCTATAAAAAGGTACTTCTTGTATTGGATGATGTGAATGAATTGGACCAACTAAATGCTTTATGTGGAAGTTACAAATGGTTTGGTCCAGGTAGTAGAATAATCATTACCACTAGAGATCAAGATATACTCAGAGGGAGAGTTGACATAGTATATACAATGAAAGGCATGGATGAAGGTGAATCCATTGAGCTTTTTAGTTGGCACGCATTCAAGCAAGCAAGTCCTAAAGAAAATTTTACCCAACTTTCTAGAAATGTAATTACGTATTCCGGGGGATTGCCACTAGCCCTTGAAGTGCTTGGGTGTTATTTGTTTGATATGAAGGTAGCAGAGTGGGAGAATGTATTGGAGAAACTTAAGAGAATTCCTAATCATCAAGTACAAAAGAAGTTAAAAATAAGCTATGATGGTTTAAATGATGATACTGAGAGAGATATATTCCTCGATATAGCTTGTTTCTTTATTGGCATGGATCGGAATGATGTTATACATATATTAAATGGTTGTGGGCTTTTCGCAGAAAATGGAATACGTGTCCTTGTAGAGCGAAGCCTTGTAACAATTGATAATAAAAACAAGCTTCGAATGCATGATTTGATAAGGGACATGGGAAGGGAAATCGTTCGTGCAAATTCACTAAAGGTTCTTGAGAAGCGTAGCAGGTTATGGTTTCATGAGGATGCGCTTGATGTATTAGCAAAAGAAACGGTAAGATGTTTATTTATTATTTTGGATTTAATGTATCTATAGCTAAAGGAAGAAAAAAGACAAATTGAGTTGAAAAGTAGTTTAGATGTGAATTGTTTTTTCTTCCTAGCTCTTAAAACAATTGATGCATTTTTTCATGAAAGCTTTAGCTAGCACATATATTTAAGCTATGTATATTTTTACCTTTTATTCCATTTTATTTCATAGGGAACAGAAGCTATTGAGGGACTGGCTTTGAGGTTATCAATAAATAATGCAACATGTTTGAGCACTAAAGCTTTTAAAAACATGGAGAAACTTAGGTTGCTTCAACTTGCTGGTGTAAGACTTGATGGAGATTTTAAATATCTTTCCAAAGATCTTAGATGGCTGTGTTGGCATGGATTTCCTTTAAAATACATACCAACAAACTTTTATCAAAGAAATCTTATTTCAATTGAGTTACAAAACAGTAATGTTCAACTTGTGTGGAAAGAAGCTCAGGTATTAATTTCTTTTTTTCTTTCCTTTCTATATTTCATGAGCAGTTTTCACCCTTATTTATTGTTACAAATTAAATTTTCTAAAATAGTAAAAAACTATTTTACTATTTCATACTTTTAGACATAAACTTCATATGTGCTTTTTCCATTTTTTACATTGCAAATATATTTAATTAACTTTACCTTATAATCAAGTTGTCATGAATATGCCATAACTTCTAAAATTAAGAATATAATTAACATCTTTTGCCAAAAAATTTAGTCTATAAGAAAAAAATGTTTAAACTTGATTCACTATGAATGTGAAATTTATTCATAAATAACTAAAAAAATGATATTTTATTGTTGTTAATGTTGAATCACTAAGAGCCCTGTAGTGAACATCTAGTGTCAATTTTGCATTTTAGGTGATGTTAATAAAGGTTAACTAAAGCAAAATTTATTTATTTTAATAAAAGATCTTATCTAAAGTTTTGCAGAGATTATAAGTCAAAATTTAATTTACTGTATATTATATAATCCAATAAATTTTATTTGTATTGAATATACAAGAAATATCTTTTTTAGCTCCAAACACACAAAACATAGAGTTTTGTGCATCGACTTTAATATATGAATGTTATTATGTAAACATATATATCCTCCAAAAAAAAATATTAAACTTTATATAAAATTTCCATAAACAACTTTTAATAATTTATTATGTGTATACATTTTTTTCCTATAGATATGACTTACACAATATTACAAGACTTATAATTAAATACTAGTATGTGTTTATAAGTCTAATGTATGTACATAAATATGACTATTTGAGAAGCAAAAGTAAAATTAATCATAAATATGTGTTCCTGCGCGCAATAGAAAAATGAATACTACATTCTAACTTGTAAGCTTTATAACATATAATTGTTACATTCTTTGTTAATTGCAGACAGTGCGGTCATTGCTTGATTTTGTGTTTTTGGGTTATTAGCCTCCTTCATTACCAAAGAAAAAAGAATATACAATTATAATTATTTCCATTTATTTTTTAAAATTTTATTGCTAATTTTTTTTATATGGTATTTGTTTTCTTGCAGCGGATGGAGAAACTTAAAATTCTCAATCTTAGTCATTCTCATTCTTTAACACAGACTCCAGACTTTTCAAAATTGCCTAGTCTTGAAAAGTTAGAACTCATAGATTGTCCAAAATTGTCTAAGATTTCTCATACCATTGGACATCTCAATCGAATTCTTCGAATAAATTTGCAAGATTGTATTAGTCTTCATAACCTTCCAAGGAGTATTTATAAATTGAAAACCCTTAAAACACTCATTCTTTCAGGATGTTCAAAGATTGACAAGTTGGAAGAAGACTTGGAACAAATGGAGTCTTTGACAATCCTTGTTGCAGATAAGACTGCAATAAAAAGAATTCCGTTTTCAATTGTAAGGTCAAAAAGCATTGGATATATTTCTTTATGTGGTTATGAAGGATTCTCGCGTGATGTGTTTCCTTCTATCATTTGGTCTTGGATGTCACCAACCAATAGTCTCTCATCCTGCATTCAAACATCTGTGGGAAAGTCATCTCTTGTTTCTTTAGATGTGCCAAATAGCAGTTCTCATCATCTATCATATATTTTAGAGAACCTTCCAAAGCTTGAAAGTCTTTGCATAGAGTGCGACTCAAAACTTCAACTAACTCAAGAAGCAAAAAATATTATAGATGCCTTATATGCCACAAATTCTGAGGATTTAGAATCAACTACAACTCCCTTAGAAATGCCAGACATTGATGCTTCTACATTAATTGAATGCAACAAACATGCACACACTTCAGGGTCACAAAAATTGTTGGCATGTCATTTAATTCAAATGGGAACAAGTTGCCGAGTCACTTATATTCTGAGACAAAGCATTTTACAGGTTTCACCCTCTTTCTCTATGATATTTATCTAACTGTCATAATTTTAAGAGATGAATATGTTTTTATTCACTAGTTGTTTCCTTCTAATTCCATTTCATCCCTAATCAAAATATTGAAAATCTATAAACATAATTTACAACAAAAACAAAAGAAGTTTCCATATGACTACAGTATTAAATTAGTTGATGATGTGGCAACTGATGTGGCTAACAACATGATTATCATGTCATTACTTAATGGTACTTGATGGTAGAGACTAAAATGTTAGTAGTGAAAAAGTTTGGGATATATTTATGAGGGGAGGTATAATTATATCGGTGTAATTTTTACCAAGTATTACACCACTCAATAACTCTATATTAAATGTAAATTTTGTAAATCCAACCGTTAGATTCAAAAATCATATCACTTTATATATGTATATCAAATTTTGTTAAAATTGAAGAACAACTTGAAGGTAATCAAAATGTTCATATTTTATTATATTTTGAAATAAATATATTACGTCAATTTTGTTTGATAAAAATGAAGTATTAATTCATTTTGGATTAATATAAAATTTTGTATATATGATCTAAGAGTAAAGAACTTTCAATCTAACGGTTGAATTTACAAAATTTACATTTAATATATAGTTATTGAGTGGTGTAATATTTGGTAAAAGTTACACTAGTGTAATTATAACCCTTTTCTCTCTCTCTCTCTCTCTCTCTCTCTATATATATATATATATATATATATATATATAAAAAGAGTTTATATAT